ATTGCACCAAAGGTGACCAAACATTCCTCTTACTGTTGTTTAATTTGTTATTTAAAGTTAATCTGACATGTATTTAACTTGTAGTGTCCACGCCAACCGGGAAGCCATGAGTGCGGGTATTATGTGATGAAGCACATGCACACCATCGTAGCCAAAAATATTATTGACTCATGGAGGGAGGTAAATATACTATAATTAAGTTAAATATGCCAATTATGTAAATGATTTCTAAATCTGAAATGTTTCAATATGTAGGAATTTACAGACTCATCTCCATTGAAGATTGAAGTGTTAGACGATATTAGAGAGCAGTGGGCTTCTTTCCTTTTAAGTATTTAATCTTAATAGCAAATTTGACTTGTAACAATTTTGATTGAATTGATTTAAGTTAGCAAATTTACATTCGTTTAAGTAAATGAAGCTGTGCAGGACTGAGGTACATATATTGATTTCAATATGTTTCATATGTACATATCTGTCTGGAACTATATATGAACTGTGCATATCTGTCTGTACAAGTGTTTGGAACTGTGATGAATAGGCAAGTCTACTCGAAGAAAGGTAGGATCTGTGAAGAAAATGCAGATTCTGTAAAAAAAAATAACATTTTCTACGTCGGTTATGTCATTAATCGACGTAGAAAGTACTTTCTACATCGGTTAATGACATAACCGACACATAAAGTTTAATATTTTATGTCGGTTATAGGCATAACCGACATTGATATCACATACAATCACGGTTACTATTAACCGATATAAATACTGAGGTTATAGAAAGTTAGAAAGTAAGACTTTCTACGTCGATTCCCTAACTAACCAACATAAAAAGTCTTACTTTCTATGACCCCTGTATCTATGTCGCCGCTTTAACCGACGTAGAAAACTAGGGAATCGATGAATAATTGACACCGAACCTCGAATTTTCAATTACACCAAAAATGTTATTCATCTCAAAGATTTGTTTTTCCGTGCTAATTCTTCACTCACTACATTTGAAGGCTTTTTTCTTTTATTTTTCCTCTGGTTGGACCACTACCTGATGCTATATTACTGTTTGTTTATTTCTTTGTTTATTTTTACATCTTTATTGGTCCTTCCTCATTCATCTCTTGGAGATAAAAATAATAATTTTACATTTTTCTTAGAGATTGAATATTGTGCTTTAGTATTTATAACATATTAGTTAGTTACAATGGTACATATATTTTATGAAGTCTTTTATTTTTTATTATATCTTGATAGTCTTCTGTTATATTATTTCTAAATCTTAACTTTCGTGAATATATTAAACACGATAAGATCGATTACTATATTTATTTATTTGAAAAAAAAACTTCAATCTCAAATTTTCCACCTACTTTATTGGAAACAAAGATATGGACACTAAATATCTAATTATTATATAGATAATTTTTAGTTTTATAATAAAATATTTATTTTATTATATTTATATTTTTTAATATAATAATTATTTTTGATAAGTTTTCATTATTATTTAAAATTTATAAAAATTATAATAATCATAAATAAATATGTTATACTTACGATCTAAATAGTTATTCATGATTGAATTATTATAAATAACATACTATTAATATATATATATATATATATATATATATATATATATATATATAATAGATATTTGAATATAATCATTCACCATATTTAAATGAAAATTTTAATTTTTTAATGATTATTGTAGTGTTAATTCTAAAATATTGTAGTGTTAATTTTAATAAATATTGAATATAATTAAATATTTATAAGATTAAAAATTATTCAATAAAGGATAATATTAACTATGATAAATTACATGAAGAAATAAATATGATTTTCTTAAGTTATTCATAATAAATTAATTTATTAGAGTTTAACAATTATACCAGCTCTAAACTTAATTTAAAGTTTAGATGATGGAAGAAAAGAATATATATTTTTTTATAATTGGTTTTTAAAGGTAAAATATTGTTTACTTTACTCTATCTTAATGTTAAGAGTATTTATAGATGTTGAGGAATATTTTTAGATTAATATATTATCAGTTTAGTATTGAACCTAAGAAAAAATATTTTATTTGTTATTTAATAAATTAGTTTTAATATTTATTTATTAAATGAAAGTATTAATATATTTAAAATATTGTTATATATTTGTTAACATTAAAAATAAAATAATATATTTGAAATATTTAGAGATTTTAAATGAAAGAAAATATTCATCAAGATTTTATTAAATATATTTGATTGATAGAATAATAACAACAACTATTATTGTCAAAAATAATTAAAAAAGTATATACTAATAATTTCTATTTTATTATCGTGTAGTCTAAAATTAGTCTCAAGTTGTATATTTAATATAAATATTTTATGAATTATATATCTTCTTTCTCTTGGTTTGTAAGTAAGAAATATTATAAAAAAAATAAAAATTCAAGAACTAATAACAAGATACTTTATATGTTATCTATTATATTATATATAATTTAGATATAAAATAGATACTCATTTAGTGAGCTATGTGTTATGAACATGTCTATATTTTCATTTACTTTTCATATCTAATGCTGATCTTTTTACATCTATTCCTTCACAAGGTGAAAGAGAAAGAGGAATGTTAAGATACAAAATAACTATTCATAGTTATTGGTGATTATTTTATAGATGTGAAGTTTATATTATTTCGCATGATATGAAAATGTATTTTTTTTCACTCAGTTTTGAATGATAAATGCTATTGAAACTGTACTTGTCTGTCTCCATGTTTTATGGTAATAATATTTAATATTTTAATGTGAAGTCTTTAGAGAAGTATATACACAAAGTTGAATTTGTGCATAAGAAAAGTGTATGCGTTATTCACACTCCAAACTAGCCTTTACATGAAGAAAGAGTGATCCTATAGATATGATGTAACAATCATTCATATATCTTTATCTTATCTTATCATTTATTAAGCTTTTCTAGAATTGTCAATTCATGACGGATAGTAGGACCATGATTGAACAATGCTTCCTGCATATCACTTCCATTTCTTTTTAATAAGATTCCAATAAGACCATCTTCAATCAAATAATTGTAATTTATTGTTAAAATTATTAAATTATTTAAGTACATTCGTTGATAATTTATATATATATATATATATATATATATATATATATCATCGAGATATTAAAAAAAAATCAAACATTTTTAAAATCGAATTAATTACTAAACGAATTAATATGGAATTTAAATATTTAATTCACCTAATCAAATTTAATAGAATAATATTTTTATAATATAATAAATTTATTAGTAATAATATTTTTTTATATAAAAAACAATAATAAAAATTATTATCATTTTACCATAAATTATAATAAAAATTATAAATATAAATATATAAAAAAATAAAAGATATATAATTATTAAAATAAAAAACATAATTAATATATGATAAAAAAATTAAAATATATTATATTTTTTTTTAAATTACATTAAAAAATTTTAATCCTAAATATATATATATATATATATATATATATATATTTGTTTTTTTTTACCAAAATCGATTAAAAAATTTAGATAATTTTTTTATGGATTTTATCACAATTTAATTAAAATTTATTATTTAAAAATATTTTTCTAAATAACGTACCAATTTTTAGTACAATTTCTGATTCAGAACAGCGTGATTTAGTCTACTTTTCAAAATAGTAAAAATAATTATAATAACTAAAATTTCAAGATACATGTTAGTCTAACCGTTAATTTGAAATATTTTTAATTCTATATCGATAAAAACAATTAATATGATTATATTAACTTACTGAAAAAAATATAATATTTTATAAATGTAAATGGTGTTTTTTAAATAAATAATAATGTCTTAAGTTTTTTAAGCCAAGATATTGACCATGTACTTGTACTTGTACAAGCAAGTGGGAGTTACTGTAGTGTCCTTACTCCTTGTAAACATAAATTTTATGTTGCGGCAAAATAAAGGCGAGTGCTTGTACCTTATATAAGGCTAATTAAGGAATGCTCTCAGATTCAATCATGGGTCATATCAAATTTAGCGTATTTGATTTGTTAGGATGTGAGACCATGCAATCTAACCTAATTTACTCACAACACGCTAGAAAGTTGGGTTAAATTTTATTTATTTATCATTAGTAAATTAATAAGTTAAGTTGTATTGATCGTCAACTCACATAAAAAAAAAAAAAACTATGATAGGTTTAATTATATGGATTGGTAGGTTAAAGTGTAAAATTCAATCCAATTCGATTAGACAATTTATTTAGGTTTAACCTACTTTGATTCATGTCTCTATCTTATTTTATATTTCACTATTTTATTATTCACTGTAATTTTTTTTCAGCAATTATAATTATATTTTACTATTTGTTATTTATAGTATTTTTAAAAAATTATAAAATAATATATGTTCTTATAAAAAACTATAATGACAACTAAATTTAATAAGGTTTATCAATTAATTCAGAGAGGTTAATTTGAATGACGGTCACTTTAACATTTATACTACTCTTAATTATGCAAGAATATTATAAGAGTGATCACTATTTCTGTGTAAGCTAAATTTAGAGAAGGCACTGTTTGTCTTGGTGATAGTCTCCCTCACAGTTTGTCCGAATTCTGATTCTCAGTGATTTTTTCATTCATGTCGGCCATATCTCAGGGCCATTTTGAATTCAAACAAGAATAATTCTAAATTTTTTCTATGAAAACTAATCAATCCTCATGCTTACTTTCAGATTAAGAGAATAGTAATTTCTGTTTATTTTTTTAAAACATTAAATATATTAAAAAAATTACAGAAAAATATAAAATTACTCTTCCCGTTAATAACAATGGATAATTAAATAGTTAGCAAATAGTATTACACAACACAAGGTTGATCCAACAAATGCATAACCATTGAAGTAGAAAGGATTATTTCCTAAATTTACATGAACCTTATTAGCCTCTTCAACAATTCATCCAAGGATCAAGCATGGTTACCACTTGCAGGCCCTCCAAGTGTCAAAACCAAGCCTTGAAGGTCACTCCTCATTTGATGATCTTTGGCTAGAGATGTAGAAGTAGTGCCTCTCATGATTGGTGATGGCTGTGCTAGCCCAGGTTGCCTGAAGCCATGGCAGGGCTCTGCACGCGAACAACTAGTTACTTGCTGGGAATTCCTCACATGATTTGAGTTCGTAAATGGTTGAGTGGAGGGAAATGAACATGATAAAGAACAGTTTGGCTCCACACATGAGGAGAATACTGCTGCTCCCTGTTCATACAAAGTACTATAATTTCACAAGACTTAGTAATGTGTCATGTGCAAATTGATTAGGTTCAAAACCTTACCGGTGCAAATAAGACTCCTCGGAAAACTCTTCCATTAACTGCTGCAGTCATGAGTAAACCTGAATCAAAGGCTCCATCAACTTTCCCCCGAACTTCAGCACCAATCTAGGACGCAAAAGCCAAAGTGAAAGAACGATTATATATAAGAATAATAAGGGATAAATATTTCAGCAAAGTGGAATTCCAAACTTTTGAAAGAAAAAGACCCACCAGGTGTTGAGTGTGTCGGGGTCCTTTTCTATCATCATCAACGTGAACATACTGCTCTTGTTTAGGTTGTTGATGTTCCATGAGATGAACACTTCTTTCTGTGGTATTCTTTAAAACTGTGGTATTACTTGAGCCATTGTCATGCTGGCAATAGCTTGGACTTTTATTGATCTGTTTGAACCAATGGTACCTCCGAGAATCCATCATAGAAACATTTCCTCTTTGAGCTGGGGTCTGTTCTTGATCAGATTGAGAAGGAGATGAATGCTGGGACAGTGAAAGAGAATGTTCTTCCTGTTCTGATTCAACATCCCACACCTTTGCAACGGCAATTCTCCTCCTCTTCTGTTGTGAAGTGCCTGCATAGAATCACAACTCTCTCTCAATAAATCCTTCACTTTCTACTTTTGCACGTAAAAGTGCAGAAATTGTTACATCATCCAGCATCTTATAGTTCTAACCAATCTATATGTATCATGTCACAAGAATTTGTGGGTTAAAAATGTCTCAACCTACCCGAATCAATGTTACAAGGTTGCACTTTATCAGATACAACTTCATTAGTCCATTTTCCTATGGCTTCCATATTATTCTCCGGGCATGGAGTTGTCTGCTTTAAAACACATGGTAAGTAAATAAACCATCATATGAACAAGAACTTAAAACAACATTTCAACGCGGGCATCTGTACCAAGTTGGTATCGGCTCCTCGAGGTATGGCCCTCTTTTCTTGATTCCAATAAGTTCCAAAAACTTTGCACATGGATATGTTGTAACGTCCATTTGGATGCTCTGCTCCAAGTTGCAACACTAGCAATTCGTTCAAAGGACGTTCATCTTCCCCACACCTGCAAGATATCAGAAAGAAAATCTTATGCACAGAAGGAAATAGAAAAGAAAATAGGAATTGTCACTTCACATTTATTAATTAATAAATTGTAGTAAATGGGAACCAACCAACCCGCCATATATGGCAATATCCATGTCTGCAACAACAGCTGTGTGAGAAAATCGTCCCTGTGGCGGTTGACCACGAATATCAAGCTGAGCCCACGAACAGGTGCAGATATCAAAGACCCATATGTCATTGTAATAACGTTTATCTCCCACCCCTCCAATGATGTAGACCTGTAAATCATAAAAATTTCATCTTGTTGATTGTATGGTGCCGGTTCTTATTACCTATCACATCAAATTTAAGAATTTTCACAATTTTTACTCTAATGCAGCAATCTCTTATAAGTTGTAGTTTGAACTAACATAATCAATCTAGGCTTTGGTTTCTCTCTCACTTGTATACTTTATTACACTACTTTTTTTACGTGAAACTTGAATGTTTTTTTTCAGTACGACATCATCTACAAACTTACTGTACTATCTCACAATTATTTTTTATCATAAAAATCAGTTGCTTATATGAAATGAATGGCGTGTAAACATCATCGTAACAGATAAAAAGAAATGAATGTCATAGCTGAAAGCTAATGCAATGTAAAAGAACTTGCCTTGGTGCCAATGTTCACAGCCGCATGACCAGCCCTGACACCTGGGGAAGAGCCTTGAATTTTCAACTGTCATCAAAATGCAAGAAAAGCAATTGTTTAAGTCCCATGAAACATGATCTTTGGTCATTAGGTTGCATTGCAAACCAACAAAAACTATGAGAAACAAGGAGAAAATACCATACCCTTGACCAATTCATTGTGTCCATGTCCAGCACATTAACATCGCCCTGATACTGATCACCACAGTCTCCACCATACACAAAAAGCTTGTTCCCGATTGCAAGAGTGCTGTGACTGTCCCTGGGGACAGGCAAATCACCTTTGACCACAGGAGAAGTCCACCTCATGGTTCGAAGGTCTAGAACATGCAAATCATTTAAATAGTTTGCGTCACCTTCACCACTGCCACCAAAAATAACAAGTCTTTCATCACCAACTAGAGTAGCAGTGTGACTTTCCCTTGGAGATGGAGGAGTCCCTTCACATTTAGGACGAATCCACTCTTTGGTAACAAGGTCCAATATATGAATGCCATTCACCTTCTTTAACCCATTTGTGCCACCGAAAACTATCATTCTATGCCCCACAAGAACAGCACTATGGCTATCTCTAGGGCCTGGCTTTTCACCCGTGGTGACAAGCTTGCTCCAGTCCATTCTGTCAAGGTCCAAACACAGAACATCTCCGAAATGTAGCCCTCCACAACAACCCTGAAATGCGTTTGCACGGAACATTTTGTTATTTGGAAACAAATTTAAAGCTAACATTTGAACACACAAATGTTAGTCAGCTCAAGATCTCTTAGAGAATACGTGGTGTGTGATCTATACAGAAAAGGCTAACTAGGTTGATGATAGGAGGTTAATTATGCTACACAAGTTAAATTGAGAGTTTTGCAATGATTAAATTATCCATCTGAAGACAAGAGAATGAAGAGGATAGAGGTTCTCATAATACCAAGACATGTAAGCACTTTTTTTGGTGCATGTTCTATAAACTGATAAACAGAACGCTAGGAGGAGAAAATCGAAATGTGTATATAGCCATATTAAGAAAGCAGAAAGTTTTTAGCCTCCCAAACGCTTATTGTCTCACTAATTAGAGAAAGAAAAACGAATTCAGTCAATTGTCACCAAGAAATATAAGCAGCAAGAGATATTAGGAAAAAACTAAAATTCAGAGAAGAAAGTGTTTTGGTTATTAACTAAAGATAGGTGTAAAGCAGGGAAGGTGAGAAATAAGTACTAGGAACTTCTGAAATTAATGAGCACATCACAAAAATGTAAATTCCCAGTAATGAAGAAGACATTATAACACACCCCATACATGCCAGAGCTCCAAAAAGGTAAGACTAATGAGAAATTCAGACACCATAAATGAGGCCAACCCAGTAACAAGCACTGTAAACAACTCACAAGTTATTACAAGGAACTATGTAAAAAAGGAAAAAAAAATCATATTAATTTTGAATAAATAAAAGAGATTTTGTTATTCCTACCCCAAAGACATACATAAGCCCCCCAGAGAAGCAAGCAGAGTGCCCCCATCTTTCAGAAGGATTATAACCCAAAACCTTTGGATACAACCACATTGCTTTCTTCTTGACTGTTTCAGCAACCAGAGACCCCATCTTTCTAACAATGAATGTATGTGTGCCTGGTGTGGTGACCGAGTAAGTTTAAACTTTTAAGTAAGACTTAAACACAGTGCTTGACAACGATGAAGAAAGAGGAAGAGGAGGAGCAGGGAAAGAGAGAGTCAAAAGAAGACATGAACAAGCCAAGTGATGTATCAACTATCAATGTCAATGGACATGAAAAGATGGGCGCTTTCAAGTCCAAATCACTGGCAACCAACAGCAACAGATGGTTGTTGTGAAAGGAACATTATTTTTCTCTCACCCTTCACATTAAACATTATAAATTTTCTAGTAAAGGTTACATCACTCACATACAAATGTAGTCTGGTAACCTGTAACAGTGAAATAAATAAATGAAGAAAGCTGATTCTTAACATTGACGTAATGGAACCAGCATGCATGATATAAACATATTCAGACACTAGTGTCATTATACTACCAACATACATGCCCCTCCTAAATTGGTTGGATAAGCTTCATCAACATTAATTAGTGGTGTAATATCATGGAATGGAATGTCACTGTTGAAGGGGAAAAAGATACTATTTCAAATAAAAAATAAATATTCTCTAAATGAGCTTAATAGTTGTACATGTCAACTAGTTTTTTTTACTTATCTATTTGAGTTAATTTTTAGTTTATATAATTTTTACTGATAGGCCAACAGCAGTGTAAAACATAGAATATTTTCTGTTTTTAAATATAAAGTAATTTCATTTATTTTGTTTTGAATGAAGGTTTCTTGCCATACTTTATGAAGATGAAAGTGATGGAGTGTGGGGCATTGGGTTGTTGGGAATGATGAAGAAGGTGTTTTGGCAAGGTTTGACGGACAGAGAATTGGGAAAGCAATCTTCACTCGATTTTCTAAACAAACATGACCTTCTTTCTCATAAATAATGTGATATATAGGGATTGATGGAGGGTTTAGGCTTTAATTTAATTGTTTTTCTGTGTTTCATGATCTCTCTCTCGTTCATCCAAGTCCCATGTGGGTGTAGATCTAGAAATGTCCATTTTCAATGTTCTTTGGAAAGTGAGGTGCTTTGTTTTGTGCAAATTCTTCATTTGGGAAAATGGAATGGTGTTGTAAGTTGTTTACCCCTAAAAGGTGTAGTTTTTTAACTTTTTAATCTCGTTTATAAGACAACAAATTCTTACTCATCAAAACTATGCACAATTTTATTATACTGGAACCCTAGCTTGTGTACAGCTATATTTTAATATACATTTTGTGAAAAAAAAATATAATATCGAGATTAATAAGAATATAAGATAGTAAAATATGAAAAAGATAGTTAATGTAAAGAAAGGTATAAAAGAGATTATAGGGTTTTTATTTGTTCTACTTTTAAGTTTTTTAGATATTGATCATGTTTTTCTAATAAAAGTCATTGAAAAAAGAAAGATAAAAATGCTGTTATATTTTGTAAAGTTACCGATTTTTTATTTTGTTTGAAGTGGATCTTAATATATTATATTATTTTAAAAATCTCAACAAGTTTTATTCTAAAAATATTTTATAAAATTTACATTTTTTATGATTTTTTAATATTAAAAATTTAATTTAATTATTATAAATAAATATTAATTCAATATAATTATACCTATATACAAAAATTAAAACTATAATTAAATGAAGTATAATATTTACACTTCACTCATAATTGTTTGTACTGAATAATTGATTTTCTCTAAAATTAATAAAATTTTAAAATTTTAAAATTAATTGTTACTTTTAAAAGTATCTTAATATACATTAATATATAAAAAATAATAAATTGTTACTTTAAAAAAATATAAAACACTAATTACATACATCACTGTATATATTAATAATAATTTTGATAAAATCTAAATATAAAAAATTACTCTCTTGATTAGACACATTATAATAACAATGAGAAAATAGAAAACTGCAGAAAATAGAAAATGAAATTCAGAGTGTTTGCTTGTTACACCACAATCGCTGGTCAAAGTCGTATTCATAGTAACTTGAGCTAAGTCAAGGCTCACACTTCCTTTCTTTTATTTGTTTGTTTATTGCAGACGCTTTCAGATGTGTGAAAAAGGGTTAAGATATTAAAACCAAATTTTCAATAAAATATGTAAAAATGTTTTTTTATAATTTTTTTACAGCACTATCATATATCTTTTAATTAATATATTTAGGATAATTAGCATCATCCTTTATTTATTCAAATTGAATCGAATGCTCAATAGATTAATATTTGAATTGAATATTTATCACTAATTATATTTATATGTGAAAATTTTGTCAAACCAACAAAATCTGTCTTTGTCTATCTACCCCTCAAGTTAAGTCTTTTAATTCCTTTAAAAAAGAGTATAGATTAATTTTAATATATTTTTTATCTAATTTAAAAAAAAATCATGAATACATAATATCATATAAAATATTATATAATAATCTTCACAACTATAAATTTTCCAAAATTCATGTAATTATATTAAAAATGTTAAGAAAGATATATTTATATATAAATGAAATGTATTTTGATTAAATCATAGAATTAATTAATTAATAATGATAAATTTTGGCACGAATTGAGTGTATGATTCCATTCTTGGAAGAAGGAGGGACCCACATGACGAACATGTGGCGTTAACTGAAGATATATTCTTCCTTCTGACGCCAACTCACCAATAATAATCGATCAACAATTGTACACATAGGAATGACGTAAACGGGTCAACATGATAGATAAAAAACTGAAAACCTAAACAACTTTGGGCCCAAGCCCATTTAATTTTACCTTCACATAAGTCTTGAGTCTTTCTCTACCCTAGAATAAATAGTTCATAGAAAAGTGTACGTGAATCATCTCCATTTTTCAGGGAAAGAGTTGAAACATTGCATTGCAGATGTTTGATAGAAGGGAACAGTGAACACTGCAATGCACCTTTTTCATTCTCAATAATGGACTATCAACTTTCCAAGAATGGGAAAAGAGAGACTCAGAAAAATGTAGGAAAGGAAATGTGTGATTGGGACAAGTATTACTAAAAATGACGTAAACATATATATATATATATATATATATATATATATATATATATATATATATATATATATATATATATGTTTTCAGTGGAATTTCGATCGATTTCGACTCCCGAGATACTTTGATACTAACCAAAATTCTACCACGTAAGTTCTTTTTACTTAGGCTAGCAAATTAATCTTCAATCGAAATGCATACGAGGATCGAATCTTACCAAGTATCGAAAATGCTACTTTTTGGTGTTTTATATTTAAGATGCAGAAAGCAATGAAATGTCGAATCGAAAAACAATACGGAATATTAAATTGCTGAAACCCGTAAAATGCAGAAACCTTAACAGTACGTTGAATGTAAATGACAAGAAATCGAAAGAACAGAAATGTAAATAGCAAGGAATCAAGATAACAGGAAATATACTGGAAATCGAAATTGCATTAATGTTAAAGGACAAGGAAACTTAAACGCGGAAATTTAACTTTGTTTGAATTGAAATGACAGAGAATCGAAAGTACAAAACATAAAATTGCCGAATATAAGGTGCATCAAAACAAATTACCAAGGAAAGTAAAGAAAGCGGTAAAGGTACTCGATGAGCATGGAAATCCAGATTGCCAGAAGCTTCATGGTGTTCGTCATTTTCCGGTAGACTTCTCACTACTGATTCTGTTCTCTGCCAATTTTCTGCTCCCCTATTCCTTCCTCCTCTGCTCTATTTATAGGGCATCATTCAAGCCTTCTAGGAGCAGTTAACAAAACTGCTACCACGTTCTTCGTGTGCGTTGCAGTTTCTTCTTCTATGGTGTTAAAACTGCACCCACGTTCCCATGATCTTCATCCTCTGCCACAATTTAGAAATTGTTTCTTATGTGCATGTTTAACTCCTTCTCTTTAAGATTTGACCACGATTTTGATATTTATGCGGGTTAACCTTTCTTTCGATTTAGACTTCGATTTTATCGAGAACTTTGGATTACTTTTGATTCCTTTTAACCTTAGCATCATATATTTCTAATTTCTTGGTTTGTTCCACAATAAACTTTTGACTATTATTTCTCCGATTCCGACTGTAACTTTCGATTTTATGTGCCATGCCCTTCTAATTGGACATCGAATGGTTTCTCATCCACCTTTTCGCTTTACCGATCAGTCACATGTTTCTCGATTTTTCTTCCTTTCATTTTTTCGATCGCTTTTCTCGATTTCCTACTAACAAAATGCCCCCTTGGAAGAATATAAATAGTTTCTGTTTATATTCTTTCAACGTGATTCCCGCCTTTGCTTGTTAGAGGCCCACAAAACTTAGGGTTTAGGGTTTTTGGGGTTCTAGGGTTTACAGGGTTTTCAATTTTCCTTTTGCTTTATGTCGCCATCGCGTCAGTCTGCTGTCTTACTGTACACGCTACATTAATTACCTTTCACCTCCGTCGTTTCCAGCCCCTAGGCTATTTTTCCTTTAAACTCTCTATTGGTTTTTTACTCTGGTTTTTTACGCGAACTTTTACCTCTTTGCAACTTCGTCTTCCTCCTTGAGCTCTTATCTTCGTCCTTGCTACCTCACCTTTTAACCTCTATCCTTCTGATTTCTTCAGCTTACTATAATGGCAACCTCATCTAAATCTTCTGATTTTTCGGCTCCACCTCTTCCTTCGTTGACGACTCCCTTTCTGGAGATAAATAACCAGAAGTTTGCTCCAGTCCCTCTGATGGAGGAGGCTTCTCAGAAAATCGCTGAGACGCAGGTACTCATCCCTTACACTGCTGATGGTGTTAATTTTGCTTTTGGGGGTCCTATCCATTCTCATGGCGGATCTTCCCTTAACCTTACCCCAAACAGCCCAGCTCTTGTCCACCAATCTCAAGTTAGGGTTGATTTTTTGAATCTTACTTCTAGAGTATATCGAACTGGCCCTCCTTCCAAAAAACCTTTATACATTAGATGATTCGATAGAGTTAAGACTAAATTCGGGAATCATTGGAGAGCCGTGGGGATTTACGACTTCTTGCACTTGTCTCGATGTGACCTATCTCATTTGGATATGACCATGTTTTTATCTGCTGTTCATTTATGGAATAAGGAAATACATGCTTTGGAATTACCTTGCGGTCCTCTTTCACCCACTCTGTTCGAGGTTGCTGCTATCACTGGTTTAAAACCTTCGGGGGAAAGATATTTTAAGGGTGCATGTCCCTCGGATAGTTCTTTAAGGTCTAAAATCGATTGGGAATCGAAAGCCTACGGATATTTCCTCGAGAAGCATTTTATCGATGACGAATCGGTCGTTACTGATGAAGAACACATAGCTTTTTTGGTGTACTGGTTATGTACCCATGTTTTCTGCCCTCGATCTATCCAAATTTCCTCCCACTTCTATGATCTTGCCTATCTTCTTCATATAGGTCAACCTAGAATAAGTTTAGCCAAATTTTTGTTAGCCCATGTATATACTACCTTTGATGAAGCCGTCGAGATTTTGAGTGCCTCCAAAGCTTCGGGAAATTTTTCTGGCCCTATCTGGTTTATACAACTGTGGCTTAACTCGATTTTTGAGAGCATCCTTCCCCCGACTTCTACCATCCCCCCGAGTGTAAATATAGAAGGTGTTCGATTATCTTTTCGCCATCCTCACCACAAACCCGACGAAGCGACTTACTGTAGATATCTAAAATTTTTGTTAACTAGGCTTCGTTTTGATTCGACTTTGACTCCTTTTGCTGCGCATCTTGGACAAATCAGTGATCAACTTCGAGGGCCAACCTGGTTTACATCAAAATTTCCTACCTTAACACCTGGGTTAATATCAGAGTTGGTAGATGTATGGAGTAATTATTTGACTCAGGATGTGTTAGTATCGGGTTTCCAGTCGAAGGCTTTTAGGTTCATCCCTTACTACCCACAACTTTTTTCGAGACAATTTGGTTTGAGCCAATCTTTACCTTTCTTCCCCCTCGATCCCTTCCCAAAGTTCAAGTTAACTGAGTCGACAATCGGACGGGAATTGGCCAAATTACTACCACAATCCCCACTACATTTTTATCCCTATGCTTTTGAGTCAAATTATTTGTCAAC